GACGAGACGGCGAGCGCGGGCTCCCTCGGCGGCGCTGGCGAGGCGGAGAGTGCGAGCGAGTGGGGCCGAGAGCGTGATCGCAAGTGTTCGCTTCTCGCCGACGTGTCCACACAACTGACGGCGTGGGGCGAGCGTGCCCCCTGAGCTGTGCGGCAATGCGGTGCTCGTCTACCCGTGCTCCCTGCTGCCGCCCCCGCCAATTTCACTGCTCTACTGTCACTGTCTACTTTCACGATAAGCCGGAACGAAATATTCAGTTCAGATCCTAAACAATATACGTGTTATTATGCACGTTGCGAAACCATTCAAGTGAAGTCCAATCCCTTTTTCATTTTAACTTTACTCTTTTCCCTCCCCAAGGATGCACACTGGGGTAAGAGGAGAGGGTAGGAGGGAGACCTCTCTTGGCGACCCACAGTAAATTTAGGGTATGGTTTAACGGTTGGCGCGGCTGGTTACCACACCCCATTCATTACCAACTGCAGCCATTCATGGGGCCTGGCCTCAGTCACGACCCTCCCGTAGAAAGCTATGGAGTCATGACCTGCTAATGGTTAGTCCTGCATCGAGAACAACTACGAAAAGTTCTTGTGCAATCAATCTGCTCTTAAAAGTATTCAACACTACGTTTCGGAATAGCTTTCGATACAGTTTCCTTTCAACTGTATCTGATACTTTGCATTCCAAGTACCTGGAGCCGTGCCTGTGACCGCACCTTCACTGTTCGTGTGAATGTGCCCCATCATTTAATGCCTGTCACTGTACTTTCACAGTTCACGAGACTGCGATCTCCGGGTGCACTAATAAGACTGCTGTGTCTAATACTGAACTTTTTCGTAGTTTCATAATAGTATGTGTATCAATGTAAATGTATTTATTAAACCTTTGTCAAACCTACAATCATTATATGTACTCTCTTTTTGGGGACAACTTCTGTTAATTGCCAGATACTGACAGATCAATTATGTAATTTCAATGGTAAAATGACCAATACACCATGTTAAATATTAAGGGACATGCTCTGTGCAAATACGTGCATATAAATAACACGTGCATGCCTGTGTTTGAGTGTTTGCGTACGTGCGTGCGTGTGTGCGTGCGTGCGTGCGTGTGTGTGTGTGTGTGTGTGTGTGTGTGTGTGTGTGTGTGTGTGTGTGTGTGTGTGTGTGTGTGTGCGCGCGCGTGTGTGTGTGTGCACGTGTGTGTGTGTGTGCACGTGTGTGTGTGTGTGTGCACGTGTGTGTGTGTGTGCACGTGTGTGTGTGTGTGTGTGCACGCGTGTGTGTGTGCACGTGTGTGTGTGTGTGTGTGCACGTGTGTGTGTGTGTGTGCGCACGTGTGTGTGGTGTGTGTGCACGTGTGTGTGGTGTGTGTGCACGTGTGTGTGGTGTGTGTGCACGTGTGTGTGTGTGTGCACGTGTGTGTGTGTGTGTGCGTGCGCGCGCCATTATGTGTGGTGCATGCGTGCTCGCGTGTGTGCTCAGTTAGCGCAATATTTGTATGCACTTAAATATATTTGCGTACACGTGAGTGTGCAAGCGCGCGCGGGGTCTCAGACTAAAGCACCTGCGCTGACCGAGCAGGAATATTCCCGCATCGGCCACCGCGGCCACCACACGCGGAACTCCTACAAAGCGGGAGTCCCCCGCGCGGCGGCGAGACATCTCTTACGTCATTTCCTTTGGCAAGCACTCAAGCACGGGCTAGATAGTCCCTGGCCACGTCGGATATGATAATGCCACGGAACCACGTTGTTATACTGTAAAAGTTATGTATCATCCTGAGTGTCTATTTCATGAAGCTACATACATTTATCGATTATATATCACTGGGGTTATGTAACGCATGAAAAATAACTTGCAGGAGTAAAGGGTGGCCAAGGTTATACATTGAAGTTTGGGAAAGCCACGTCCTTTAAAAGATTTCGTTAATGTCAGTTACACAAAACCACATTTCGTCATACCGTAAAAGAATCGTTATGGAAGAAGAACGGACCATTAAATCTAACCGGATTAAACCAGTCGAACGATAATCGAAGTTAGCGAACCTTTTTTTTCCCCAAAAACTCCAACAATAACTCCATTCAGATTAATCATTTGCTATCGTGTTGTTTTCGGTCGCCATCTGTGTAATGAGAAAGTTCATCCCACCAGGTTTAGTGTTATGGTCATTCCTCCATCAATACGGCCAAGGACGAGGAAAACGCTTTATAACTCACCATCTAGAACTGACAGGTGGCAATCCTATCTCGGTACACGCCATTAAGAGATTTCACAAACGCCCTCTGATAAATATTATTGTTTTTTTTTTTATCGCCGATATTGCTGATAGTCCGAACCGCGTGCGGTCACGGTCGCGTCCTTGCTACATTATGATAAGAGAAGAGATACACGTGTAATAAATAAGAGATCTGAAGTGGACACAACCGTGCAATGCAAATCACTACATCGAGCAAACGACTCCTTCAAAATGTACAATCCCACGCAAACAAACAAACAAACAAACGTCCTCTTTGCTGGTGTGAAGGGGATTTTCTCTGCCAACTCTTCGGCCAGCTTCCAAGCCTCACGTGATTCTCTCCGAGTTCTGGTTACCTGCAGGATTACTAAGAACGTGACGTCGGCAGATTCAAGGTGAAAGTCGGGTATTTTTCTCTCGCTGGAACTTTTCGACTGGAATCCAACGTCAATAGAAGGCGAAGAGGAAGGAGAATGCGTATTTTTCTTCTTCTTCTTCTTCGGATACAAGTAATTCTGAGAATGACTAAGCAATATGACGTTCTATAAATAACTTAATATTCTGCATGATGTCATATTTCTCATTACAATTGTCTATGCTCTCACACGAACAAAGTTGTACCATACAGACACATTAAAACATTTGATACACCAAAAAGAAAATAAGTTAAATCATATAAAAACACCATACGGACTTCCTATTAACGACCACAAAGAAAAACATCAACAAAAAAACAATGACTCACCGCGTAAATTGCTAGTTCTAGGTACATGATCAGCCATTTTTAAAAAAAGATTGGCAACAGTCAACGTCACTATTCACATAATATCGTTATCTGTTCTTTTCTTCCATTCTTTCTTTCTCTCTTTTTTTTGTGGCGGGGGGGAGGGGGGCGAGATTTCTTTTTCTTCTTCTTCTTCTTCTTCTTCTTCTTCTTCTTCTTCTTCTTCTTCTTCTTCTTCTTCTTCTTCTTCTTCTTCTTCTTCTTCTTCTGTGAGGTTCTCTTCTAATGCTAACACGCAATATCCATCTCATTTTATCCGATATTCGTAATAATCTATTCTTGATTTAGGTTCGATGAGTAGAAGACCTGTTATAAATTGCCTTACTAGCTACCTAACGATCACATATTTTAATCACGTTTCATTTATTTTTATTCCTGATCACGAAAAGTTCGAGGTCTTTTTAAGAGACGATATTGCTTAATTCCTCCACATCTCTCTCTCTCTCTCAGATAGACAAACAGGCAGACAATGAGAGAGAGAGAGAGAGAGAGAGAGAGAGAGAGAGAGAGAGAGAGAGAGAGAGAGAGAGAGAGAGAGAGAGGAGAGAGAGGGGGGGGGGTGGGGAGGGGGAGGGAGAGGGAGGGAGGGAGGGAGGGAGGGAGAGGGGGAGGGAGGGAGAAAGAGGGGGGAGGGGGAGGGGGAGGGGGAGGGGGAGAGGGAGGGGGAGAGGGAGGGAGGGAGGGATTGAGGGAGGGAGAGAGAGAGAGAATCTCTTTCTCTCAGATAGACAAACAGGCAGACAATGAGAAAGAGAGAAAGAGAGAGAGAGAAAGACAGAGAGAGCGAAGGAAAGCAAGCGAAAGAGAGAGAGAGAAAAAAAAAAGAAACAACCAGAATTTCAACAACACTCCCAAGCGTATGCACCATGAATGCAGACCCCCTCCCAAAGATCAGCCTCTGGAATCCTTCTCACGGCCGGCATCTAGTCCTACCCCCCCCCCATCCCTCCACACCACCATTCCCCTCCCCTCCCCCCTTCCCCCTCTACCCCCTGCCCCGAAGCCTAACCCCGAACGGATTACATTAAACGATCTCCTTCCTCTTTGCCCCCATATCCAGTCTTCACAAACTTCCTCTTCTGTACAAGTGTATGTCCCGTGTATCGAATGCTCTTGCAAATAATGACATCCACTCCTCCATTATCGACGCAATGTTGCAATTGCTGAGGCTAAATAAAGAGGGTCTCGGCGAGTACTTGAGCGAAAGAAGGTCGTATTCAGCTGAAGTACGGCACTCGGTTGCAAAAGTAGACTTGACTTTCATGTCGTAAAAATCACTGGTCAATACACTATAAAAGAAATAAAACGATAAAAAAAGAACAAAATAGTATGTTGCTAGGTCATTCTCTTATTTCCTGGGCCTTCCTTTTTTTCAATCTTTCAAATATATGTTATTCGTTTCACATATCACGTTCTATCATTAATGTCATTTTGTGATTCACCCTATCGCCTCATATTTTCTTCTGCATATTTTAGTTTGAGTGAAATTTTTATATCAATTGCTGTTTTAATCAAATTATCTTTATCTTTTGCATTTATATATATATACATGGTCTGCATGTGTAGCCATGCAGGCGCGATACCCTAGGCATATATACAGGCCTATTTATAAGCAAATGTATATAAGTATATGCATAAGCACGAATATACAAGTATATATATATATATATGAATGAGGAAAACACTCTACCGTGTTGATACTATGGTAGAAAAACCCACTGGGTTTTTCTACCATATATATATATATATATATACATATATATATATATATATATATATATATATATATATATATATATATAAGTGTGTGTGTGTGTGTGTGTGTGTGTGTGTGTGTGTGTGTGTGTGTGTGTGTGTGTGTGTGTGTGTGTGTGTGTGTGTGTGTGTGCGTGTGTGTGTGTGCGTGTGTGTGTGTGTGTGTGCGTGTGTGTGTGTTTGTGTGCGTGTGTGTGTGTTTGTGTGTATGTGCTTGTGTTTGTGTGTATGTGTATGTGTATGTGTGTGTGTGTGCGTGTGTGTGCGTGTGTGCGTGTTTGCGTGTTTGTGTGTTTGTGTGTATGTGCTTGTGTTTGTGTTTGTGTACGTGTGTGTATGTGTATGTGTAT